TTTCATCAGAAACTTTCTTCCTTGCAAGTCGCAGCTACTGGTTTGTAATGAACAGTCTAAAAGCAGTTAACTCTCACACATCTAAATTTTCAACTGAGCTGCCATTCACCTATTGACAACTGATCTGGACCTGCATTTGTCATTTGGGGAATTTCTTAGAAACAGTTCAGATTTGAAGTTTATACATTGAAGTAAACTGATCTGAAATAATGAGTATTGGTGCTTTTAAGTTGCTTAGTTTTTACAAATCCAGCAAAGTCAATTTTAATAAGATATCCTTCCCGTCTAAGAAATGCTTTCTAGTTTAAAAAGCATGATCCTGAATACAGATTGCACCATTATTTCAAAGCATTCAATCATCACTTTCTTTTTAGCAGCTTGAATTAGACACGCTTTCAGATTTCATCCAACTGCCAGTTAGAAACCAGCAGCACTTCTGCCCTTTCCTCTCATTAGGGACTTGCTGTTCTGTACCTGGAAATCTTCATCCCTCATCAGCCAAAGACACGAGAGCAGAAATCTCACATATCATAGTAGTATCATGGACACCCTATTAAAGAGGATGGATAACATATTCAGCAGTGCCTCAGGGCCACAATTTCAAAGAGATGTGTAGTGCTGAAAGACACAGGTGAAAGACTCCTGGGCTTTCCAACACCCCCAGCTACAGAACACCCATTGATTTCAGTTACTCAAATGAAAATTTGTTAAATCTATATGTTCTGGAGCAAAATGTTCACTTGAAGTTTGGGACAGACATAATCCTATGGGCTAAGTTTTAAAACTGACTCTCACTGATTTCAAAGGCATATAAATAATTAAATATTCAGATAAATCTTGCCATAAGTGAGGCATTAATCCTATTTAGAGCCTCTCTTTCATTGAAATGATGGCAGAAACTTCAGCTTTAAGGAGCTGCCTTTCAGTATCACATTTTGATCACGTATCCATTGCATGGATGCTACATAGGCTAGCCTCTAAATGCTGCACTGTCACATCTTTCACAGTAAAGAAATAGAAAGCAAATTTAAAGATTATTTTCTCATCCCCCAAAACACTCCAGAATTCAAAGAATGAGCAGCTTTTAGGCAATTTTTTCCAAAATATACATAAGGATGACAATTGCCAGCATTAAAAAATAAGGTACTTGAAATAAGGCTCAAAAATACTGCTATGGGAATAGAGGAAGAAGGACAAAGTAAGAAAGAAGAGGTTAAGGCAGGGGCTTTACTGGGGAAAAAAACACAATGCAAAGAGGGGCATGAAAGTTGAAGACTTGAAGACAGATGGAGCCAATAAGTTCCATACTATCTGGAAGCAAGCATATTTCATGAGACTTTGCTGTTTCAAAAAGCAGAAATATTGTAAGTGAATATACTCCAACTCTGCCTCTTAGGAAGACTTGTTATCCACATTTTCATCCTGGATGTGACTCCTAACACAGGGTTCTGGTGGGCTGACCACTAGCCCAACCCAGCCATGTGAATGACCAGCTTCAGCTCTGCTCCTTTTCTGCAGCAGGCAGCAGAAGGCCTGCTTAATACTGAGAACTACTTTAAGAGGGTTATAAAACAATCTGAGAACTTTAGCCCGGGGCTGCACCAATACCCACTGAAGCTCAGCGCCCTGCTCCTCCTCCCACAGCATCCTGCAGTGAAATCCTTTTGTTTGCTGATGAACAAGATAGTTCTCCAATGCCACTCCTGGTCAAGTGGTTTTTAATATTTCCCATACACTTGTAGGAGCAGATAAAAATCTGATTCCTTTGCTGCTTTCTTGCAGAAATTAAATTACCTTCCCCGTTCTTGAGTAAATGACAGGGCTGCAAGATAGCTCCCAAATCTCTCTCCTCTCTTGCAATGGTCCTGCATGCTAAAAATACAAAGATAATTTGTGCAGTGGGTGGGCTTATACTTGGAAATACAGAGGCCTGTGCAAGCTGCTATCCTTCCCAGGAAGAAACACACCATGATGCACAAAAGAAAGTGGTGCAAGTGAGAGGCAGCTGAAGGTCTCCGAAGTGAAAACAATGGCTTTTCTTTCTAAAGGTGGAATGAATATCCCCATGGTGCAGAGCAGAGAGGAAGGGATATCAAGAGAAACCCAAGTTTCTGTATGAGGAATGGTGGGAGAGTAAAGATGGGTGACAGGAGGCCTGGCTCACAGCAGTGACACTGCTAGCAGACAGACAGGGATGTGTGGCTGCAGCCCAAAGTATTAAAAACCCTCTGGTGCATCTCTCACTATTGGTTGGGGGCTGTGTCTTCATTTCCAAACATTAGGATAAATATTAGCACTGCTATTCAAGATAGCCAGGACACAGTCTCTGTTTTTTCTCACTTTATGGCTTTTAGGTGTGGACTGTAACACATCCCTTATTCAGTCAATCTGTTTTGTGCTGCTTAAGTCATCGCGCTGGGCTTGAAAAAAATATACTGTTTTGATTGGGTTGGTGGTAGGGCTCCACCCAAGATCCCTGGGAAAAGTTAATTAAGGACAACTGCTCACAGCATCATGCACAGCAAAACCAGGCAAAGCAGGGAGAGCAGCCATGCTGCAAGCTGGGCGCTGCTTCTGGGAAAGTGATTACGCCTCTGGGACTCTGGGCAAGAGGGAGACCTCACCTGGAATTTATTTTATTTTTTGGAACCAGAGAAACTCAACCCTCTCAATCAGCCCTTTATCTCCAGTAAAGACTTCCATTATTCTAGTTTATTTACTTTCTATGCACACTTGATTCTATCCTTAATGCCTTCTTACTGTATGAAGCTAATTGATTTTATGCTTAATGCCTTGTTGAAGTACAAAGCTAATTGATTGTGCCTGTAAAACCAGCAGGGTACACACAATGTGATGGTTCCAGTGGGATCTTCCAGCAGACTTCTTTTTGCAGCCATCTCTCTTCTCTTTCAGCTCCCATTGGCCTATGTATCTCACCAGGCCCAGACTGTAAACATACATTCCATATCAGCCGGTATCTGCCTCTCCATAGCAGAGCAAGTCTTGGAGAGAAAGAAACAGAGGACTGGTCCCCATCACCCATCCCTCGTCTAAAACGCAGACTATAGAAACTGGCTGAGTATTAGCAAAGGAAAGACTAGGACAACATTGAGGCTGCCAAAGACTTCCCAGTACCTCCTTGAGCAGCTCCTCACAGCCCGGACACAAAGGGAAAGGACACATCCTCCATCCCCAGAGGACATGTTTCTGCCTCAGACCTACCAATAGAACAGCTGCTGCCCGTGCCAGGAGCTGTTACAGCCCCGGGATATGGTTACACAGGCTGCACTTTCTAAACCACTTGCAGAGACAGCATGTTTAAGAGTTGTTATTTCTTACAATGTGTGTGTTGGATGGTTTGCTAAAATTAGGAACAAGTGTATTCCAGAGCTGGAACATTTATGGCTCCTTTACCATTACTGTATATTTTAATTCTTAAAAATAGTTTTAAGTGACATGATAAGTAGAGTCCTGCTTAATCTATTTCAGCCCATTTGCCACATTCCTGGTTTGGCCTCTTTGGCTTGTTAATTTAGAGATATATAAAACCATCTGTTTCATTGTAGACTTTGTTTTAAGCCTCAGAGGAAACAAACCACACAAACAGATGAAATTCACTATGTCATTTCTGTTAAAACATACGTACTTACAGCCACGAGAGCATACACCAGGTACCCAGTAACTGTAATGTCACTACAGATTTTTAACTATTTACAATTTCGCTATAAAAAAGCAGTGCAATTGAATTCACATCGCACAAGGGATTTCCTTACACTGTATTCTACCTCTCATTTAAAATGAAAAACACTGACATTCCACACATTGTTAAAAGAATGCAATAAAGTAATGAGAAAACAAGCTTCATAATTAAAAAATATTTCTTAGGAAAAAAGCACCCCAGACAAAAGTAGCTAACAGGACACACTGTGTCCATATATCTGCCGGTGTCTGGAATGCCCAGAAGTCACCTACAGACACTCCATTCTCTTGATTCTACTGTGAGCTTCAGCAATCACAGTCCGTCTGTCAAAACCAGAGCAGACCTATAATTTTAATGCAACAACATTTCACAGAGAAGACATATTTGCTGATAGTTTCTACTGAAAACAGACTTCTGTTCCAGGTGAGCACGAGAAGGGACTCTTCCCAGAATGAATGGTCTATGAAGGGGACCACCACTCAATGCCAATTTTGTGCCAAAAGAACACTGCTTCTTTTGACTATAATGGAGACTGATTTTCAAAACTTGATTCTGACCCCACAACACAGAGGCCTTGCTTATTGGCTGGTGTACTAGACATGCTCGTGGAAATGTCTATTACTCTGATATTTAGAAAGAAAAGGCAGCTCCTCCAAACATTCTCCAGCTTCTATGTTCCTCACTACCACATTATATAGTCTGCTGCACAATGGTTCCAAAGATTAAATATTTAACGAAGGAAACCTAAAGGTGTCAGCTACGGACTAAATACTAAATCAATTTAAGAAAGTTCAGTGATTTGACTGCATAGCATCTTACTGCAGCGTGAGCAAGGAGCAGGCGGGTGGCCTGGGACTGTAAGTGATTCTGGAGGAATCAAAGAGTTTAACTGAGCAGTTTTAAAAATGTATAAGCCAATCGAAGTTTCTAATACAGCCCTATTTGAAGATAGTTCTCCAAACCATGTTATTCAGCAGGGAGCTGAAGTTAAGGGAATATACATCTAAAACATAATGACTTCCAAGGACCCGAGGCCCTGACCCTACACCCCCATCCATCAAAGCATATAAGCAGGACTCTGAGTGTTTTAATGGCCCCACTGTCAGTTTCTTCCTTGGCCCCTTTTTCTTTTGTTCCTTCTTCCCTTTTGCCTTTTCTACAAGCGGCCTGGATTTTGCTCCTAGAATTATTTCACCTCCTGCTATGAGAAAAATCTATGATGTATTAAACGGCAAAACCAACATCCATCCACCCTCCCCTCACTGCCATCTCACCGTGCAGCTAGCAGGGCTGTACTCACAATGTTCATCAGGGTCAGCAGGTACTTCTGAACGTGTTCCTTCCCATGGAACTGAACAACTGAGTCATCGACCCCCAGAAGGACTTCGATGTTGTAATCATCATCCGTCGCGTGCCTCCGGCGGCGCTGCCTCAATCTGTGCACCCGATCTTCAATAAGGCTCAGTGCGCTGTCGAGACCATCCAGATTAGTCAGGTTAGGCGCTGCAATCAGACAAACAAACAAGTTAAAAACTGACAGCGGTTCAGGCTCAGGTCTCAGGTGAGCTGGGATAAATTTGAAGCAGCAGCTTTTGTTATGTTATGTAACGGAATAACTTTCTTTCAATGTCAGTTAAAGGTGACCTAAATGAGAGAGAAATCTGACCTGAAAGATTACTTTGCAGCGTAAAAACAATACTTTCTACAAAGCAATACTGTGTTATAATTACAAGGCCAAAGGGATAGATACACCAAGGCCTTGCCAAGAAGAACGGAGCTGTCTGCAGTAAAATAATTGTTGCTTTAAAGCACTTAGATTCATGGAATAATTAAGGTTAGAAAAGACCACTAAGATCGTGCAGTCCAACCCATCCCCACAGTGGCTACGTGTTGCTCAGTGCCACATGTAAGAAATGCACCATGGTGGGATCCTGTGCTACCAAGGGCATCCTTGATTTCAGAACCACAGGTAAAGGCCAACACCATGCTTTGAATCTGATCTTACTGCCCACAGTCATATTTCCAGGCAAATGCTGTTACCAACAAAACCTGTTTATATGGAACATTTGGTAACAATCCAACATCCCCCCTCAATGCATTAGCTCCTTTCCTCAATACACTCACATCATTCAGCAGTAGTGGCACGGATCCTCTTTATCATTACAAATCAGGAACGCACTTTAGATATGAGACAAATTCATTTTTTAGCTACGTTCAGGATTATTTAGCAGCTTTTCATTTTTTGTTCCTAATTTGTCATGTCATTTTGCATTACTGCATGTCAAAGACCACTCCATCAGGCACAATAGCAGCCAACATTATTACGAGCTGTTTGAAACAGTGCCTGTGATACAAAAATCTTGTATTTTGGCAGGATGGGATACACTTCATGTGGCATACAGACCCTAAAAATTAACATGAAAATATGGAATATTGACATTTCACCCTACAGAATAACAATGATTAGTGTTAATATCATTATTATCATTTGTATTTCAAGAGCCCTAGGAATCCCCCCTAAGAATCTCCTGATTTCAGAAAATGTCAGAAGACTGACTCGGACAGGCAGAGGGAGCACTGAGGGTTGATTAAAGGCTTCCAGCACTCAGTTCACAGCAGCATAATAGGAAGCAGAGGGAGGAGGCTGAAGTCATCACCTTCAAAGGTGAAATACGAAACAACTCTTGGAAATGTTACTAAAAAATGTGGAATCTCCATCTTCACTTACTGACATTTTTACATAAAAATTGGCTGCTTGGGATGAGTGGATTACCAGGCTCATTACAGGAATATCTGGACAGCCTTTTACCATTTCCCCATGGAACTTTGAGGACATGAGGCCACAGCCTCAGATAAACAGAGAAGGCCCCATGCGGTGCTCCTCCATCCCCACAGAGCTGTGATCTCCTCCTGTGCTTAGTCAGGGCTCAAAACCCACCAGCAGCCAGCACCAGCCCTATCTCCTGTTTTGCTCCACTGGGAATGCCTCAGTGTTAATCCTCACTGGTGCCCAGAAGTAATTACTGAGCTATCACAGCGGGCTCGGGAGATTCTCTATAGGATCATGAGGCAATCACATATTCTAAGTCTGATTTGCCTTACAGATTATATGTACAATTTGACAGTAACTGTTACAAGCTTTCTAGAAAAGTAAGACTGAGCTGGCAGGGGCTGCCGGTTGTGTCCTCTCTCATTACTCACAAAAAAAAAAAAAAAAAGCACAGCAATAAGCAGCAAGGCTAGAGCTATCAGAGGTGATACTGCAAACCAGCAGTGCGGTGCCTTCATCCCCACTGCGCCAGAGGCACAGCGTGATCCTGGCATCCTGCACTTACCATCCTGCAGGCAGGCTGCCTGCTCCCTCCCTGCCCCTCATCTCATCCCGCTGCAGCCCTGGCCGTCCTTCTGGCTCACAAGAAGAGCAATCGTATTTTCCACATTACCTTCCCCCTGTGCTTTGTGCAGTAACACTCCGAGAGTCATCTCAACTGCATTGTATTTTACTAAGTCATCCCAAGACCTCTCCATCATTTGTTCGTTTTCAGCAACTTTTGCCAAATCAGAGCTTCAGCTGCTAATTATTGGTGCCAACTTTGTTCTCCATCTCCCAAGAGCAGACACTTGGCATTTGCAGGGCTAACAATGGCCTCTGTTGAAACCCTCTGTGTTCCCACCAGGAAAAATTCACATTTCTGAAAATTAAAAGCTGAGAGACAGGGTTGTATTTTCCTCTTGTGCTAATCATCCAGACTCAACCGAAGGACAGCACCACTCTAACAGTTCACCCACAAATCCCTCAAAAAAAAGAAAAGAAACACTCTTTTCTTTTTTAAGCCAACAAAAAATCGTTGATCATTCAGCGACTTTTTCTCCTAATACTGCAGACCTTCCAGTTCAGTATAAAAGCTGTGGATAGAGGGAAAACTGTTTCCGGACTAAGCATAGAATGGGAGCCCTGCAGCCTGGCTGTGCTCCTGCATGTGACAGAGCCTTCCCTGCAGTGCTGCAAGGGGCAGAAGGCAGCTGGGAGATGGGCAGCAGTGCCAGCTGAGGGGAAGGCATGAGCACAACCCAACGTGGTTCTGTACATGGTTGCTTTTTGGGCATCCTCCACTTTTGCTTGGAGTTAATACAGGCAAGCAATCCTAGCTTATCCCATGCAGCAAAGCCCTAGCTGTTTGCTGAGTCAAGAACCAGACAATATCTCCAGCTGCGACAGTTCGTTAATACATAGAGAGCACATCAAAACCTAAAGGGAAAAGGTCTGTGTTACGCTGTGTTCATGCAAACTGCTTATAGCACTACATATCATACAAGATCCTTCTATATGGTGTTCCCTTTTCCTAAGCAATGTGCAGTACCCCAAGCTTTTCTCTAAATTATTCCAGTTTTCAATCTGCTATTTATTCCTTGATATTTGGGCTCTGAATGGACTTGCTGCGTCTGAGCATCCAGCTGCATGCAGCTTCATGCTCTGAGACAGGCAAAATCCCCACTGACACCAACATCACTTTGGCCCTTGCAGGACCACCTCTACCAGCCACAGCATCACAGCCTTAATGTTGGAAGCCCCCAAGCTACCATGTTTGTCCCATACAAGAATTTTCCATCGGCAAATTTCCAAAAACAACTTATTTTGGGGAAACATTTGCTTGCTCATTCATCTTTGATATTATGTGCTTTACAGAAAATTAGATGACATCTTCAGATTCTGCCTTACCCATCGCAGCAGTCAAACTGTAACAGATGCTGTGAGTTACTGAAGCATGAACATGCTGCTGCCATGAAACCGCCTCTCCCTGCGTTTCTGTCACTCCCTTTAGGACATCTACCAAAAGTACAGTTGCTGGCTTGCAATCTTGCTTTGTTTTTTCATGACGACTTTCAAAAAGGCTCAGGGAAATACAGCTGGACCTACAGTTCTTACGAGTCATTTATGAAGCTGTTGCACTTCAAAAACAGCATCAGCTTTAGGGTTCCCCAGTTTCACAGCAGCAATATTGTCCTAATGAAGCATTTCTCATTTTCTACCTTCTCTTTCTGGCAGGGGGAAAGGGACTTTCTGGAAAGCCCAGTACAGGGACCAGGGCAGGCAGTCGGGTGACTGAACTGCATGACTTGTTCACAGCCATCATCTGCGGTTTGTCAGCAGGGCAGCCCACTAGAATTTCTCTTTAAATACAAACGTACAGCGTGCAGGCAGGTCAGCCACCGTATTCAGTGCAGCTTGTTTGCTCTGTGGACACTTCATCTGTCACTGCAGAGCAGGCAAACACCTGAGCTGAATGCTGAGTGCCACATCCTCTGCTTGATGTTGACATGCTGATGTGCTGCTGAGCTCCAGTCCCAAGACACACTACTGAATGGACTCCCAGCTTCCCATTCCTTCATGCGTGTTGCTGCAAATCATCTCTTTTTTTTTTTTTTTCCTTTCTCTTTAACCACAATGATTCAGCCTGAAGCCCAGCTGGAGACCACTCTGCTGTGGGGTAGGCAGAGCCACAAGGGCCACCCTGGGCTTCACACCACTCACAGCTGATAACACGACGCCAAGCCTGGGACTTGCCCTCACCTTGTGGGCAGGAGGCCATCCATCACCTACTATCGCAGAATCATTAAGGCAGGAAAAGACCTCTAGGATCATCTCATCCACCTATCCAGCTACCACCAATACTGCCCACTGACCACATCCCTCAGTGCCACATCTCCACGTTTCTTGAACACCTCCAGGGACAACAACTCCACCACCTCCCTGGGCAGCCTGTGCCAATGCATCATCACTTGGTATTGTGAGTGCAAGCAAAGCAGGTTCCATGGCAGGGAATCACAAGCAGACAGGATGGGCTTGCTCTGGCTCTCAGCTTCCTACTGCTCAAATACATCTGCACCTCTGGAAAAGTACCAAACCCCTTGACAGCTCAACAAAGAATTGCACTCTGGGGAATAGCACATTAAATCACAAGTCATCTCCCTGCAATGCTCCCTGCCACCCTCATGCTGTAGGCTTCTGTCACGCCTGTCCCCCACGATCAGCTCACTCCCCAGCTAGCCCCCCTCGGCCCCTTCAAGTATTCCACCAAAATCCTCATTTGTCTTCCATGCTAAATTGAGACCCAAACCACGAAGGTCAGAGGCAACAAAGAACAGCCAACAAATCTTACTTTTTATTTCTTGCAAATTTTCTCCCATTTTTAAGTTTCTCAGCATGTATTTTTGCTATTCCTTGCCATTGTATGCATTTGTGATGCGTCTTGTTCATCTGTTAATCAATAGTTTCTCTGACTTTTTTTTTTTATTTCCTCTATTTATACAGCTCTGCTCATCTTCTCTTTTGCTTTATGTTCCAAATGTCCTCTATTTGTCTTTCTTCTCTCCCTTGCCATCCTGCTCAGCTACATTTGCCTTCCATAATTTATAAATCCCTTTTTCATACCACCGTCTGCATTTGGACCTTTCTGCTATATGTCATTCATACAAGCCCAGGGTAAACCCAACAAGGTGAA